GCCCTGGGCCTGGATGGTGGGTCACTTCTGAAAGCAGGGGGGCAGTCAAGAGAGGGACATGGACTCTTACCAACCGCAATTCTGATCAGCTAGGACCCAAATGCTGACTCATAGCAACCCCTTGTGGGTTTCCGAGACTATAACTGCTTATGGGAGTAGAAAGTTCAGTCTTTCTCCTGAGGAGCTGATGGTGGTTTTGAACTGCTGACCATGAGGATCGCAGGCAAACAAGTAACCACTGTACCACCAGGTCTCCTTCTAGATAAGCCAAGACACCAAAACCCGGAGGAGGAGGAGGAGGAACAGGAAGCAAACTTTGAATCACAGCGGATCTGCCCATCCGTTCCCATCAGGAACCTTTCAGGCAAAACCAGAGGCCTCTTCCCTTGCTCAGCCATCTCCACGGAGAACGTCTTCATCCGTGGGCTCCTGCTCACCAGTGGTCACACTGGACTATGGCGCGTGTCTGCGGGCACGGATGCCGGCCCAATGCCCTGGATGTCTAATTGCCCAGAGGAGGAGCACGCCCAGAAGGCCGGGGCTACAGAAAGGAGCCGCCGGGAGGTAGAAGTAGTAAAGACACCACAGGGCGTGACTTGGATGTGGCCATAAAATTAAAGAGCTAAGCACTTGGCTGGAGAAGAGGGAGGCACAGATTGCTGCTGCCCCATTCACTGACGACTGCTGGCTACTTGGTCCTTGAGCACAGCCCACTGGGCTCGGTGCCGCGTGTCAGGGAGGGAACCAGCCCATCTTCAGCCATACCTTTGGGAAGTTCAGTCATGCCAACTCGTCCCAAAAGCGGAGGCCAACTCCCAACTCGAATCTCCTTCCAGGTTTCCGTGTGGCCTTTGTTCCTCCCTTTCCCCCAGCAATCTGCCTGGGCCCTTACGGAAGTGACTCTCCTCCAGAAGCTTTTAGAAACGAGAAACCACAACCGGGCAAACTGGCGTCTTCGTGCTGGACATGGTTTCCTGCCCTCTGGAACCCCAGGTTTGGACGGAACCACCGCAGGAGAACGCCACACGGTCATCTCAGCAGAGACAAAAAGTGCCCTTTGGAGCGGTTCCCACACATTTCTGATTTTCAGAAAATAATAAAAAAAGAAAACAGTACCAAATCTCCATATGACTGGGCCGGAACGAGAGATTTGGGGTAGAGAAGGTATACAAGAAGCCCCGAGGGAATTTGATAGTGATTATTTCTCTATCGCGATGTAAGATCTATGCAGAGTGAAATTACGAGCAAGACCAAACCCACGGCCCCTGAGTCTTCTGCCTCGTGGGCCACTTACAGAGCAGAGCAGCGCCGCTGACCCTCTGTGGAGAAGCGGCGGACAAGAGTGGGAGGCGAGGGTCATGATGCATAAAACAGGCGAAGGAAGAGCTCACCTCCAAAGCCTTGTTACACTGGAATAGGGAGGAAGGGGCTGCGGTTGTTAAGACACAGGCCAGGGTCCAGGAGAAGAAATAAACCCCCAGTAAGCCGGGAAGTGCCGAGTAAAACCCAGGTGGTATTTGTGCGTGTCAGAGTGACAGTATTATTCTAAATTAGCACTTAGTTGGGAGAAAACATGCCCCTTCCTTAATTATGGTCAGTAGGTACATTTTCTGAGGACAACCTGCTAGGACCTTGGAAAATATATATTTATAATTCATGTACACGCCCGTTGAATGAACAGCCCCCCTACCAGGAATTTCATCTGCAGCAGTGCAAGCAAAAAAACTGGACACCTCCTCAAATCCAGCGGTCGGGCAACGGTTAGGTGAAGTGTGGCCTGTTGTAATGATACAGAGTCAGAATTGACTCGAGGGCAGTGAGCGAGAGTCATCCGGAAGGAGGCCTGCTGGTGCGTCAGGTAAGCGCTCACGCTCGCTGGACCGCACTAACTGAAATGTCGGAGGTTCGAATCCACCAGCCACTCTGAAAGAGAACGACGTGGTCGTCTGCATCTATAAAGATGAACAAAACCCAAACTGTGGTTTTTGAGCTGGTTTTGACTCAACCACCCTAGAAGGCAGCATAGAGATGGCCCATGGGGTTTCCTAGGGTGTAAGTCTCTACGGAAGTAGAATGCCACAGGCCTTGTGCTTAGCAGCGGAGCAATTGAGCCACTACCCCTCCGGTGCTCCTTCCACAAAGATATTACCTGGGAAACGCTACAAGGCAGCTCTGATATGTCCTCCGGCATCAAGGTGAATCGGAATCAGCTCGCCAGCAAGAGGTAATCGTTCTCAGAAAGAGCGGAGGAGCTGTGTGTACACGAAGCAGGGACATGGCACACTAGCCTCTGGGAAAGTAAGTCAAGGTGTGCGGGTGGTATAATCCTCCTGGGTTAAGTCACCTGCAGGTACAAACTGAGGTCTGAGGTGTCCCCACTGAACTGAGGGTGCTGGCCTCTGGGGAGAGCAGCGGAGGAGGGGAAGCTGAGGCACATTTCCGCATCGGTTGCAACTTTTCGAGGACCATCTTTTGCAACTCAGACAGTTAATGGCATGGTGGATTCTTTTTTTTTTTTTGGCATGGTGCATTCTTGAGACGCTCTATGACCATGTTGAAATATTGTCAAAGAGAAGGGGGGAAATTATTAGGAGCCCTTCTCCTATTGCCCAGTGACACTATTAATGGACATTTGGGCCTAAAGAAGGAAAATAGGAATCTTGCAGAGTCCATGAAGTAGAAAACTGAGATTAATAAAATGGTGTGAGAGTGCCCGAGGGGCAGGAATCTGGCTTTGTCCCCAGGGTGCTTGGCCTGGGGCTGTTTGGCACTGGGGAAGCCATTTGCCCTGCAGGGTCTGGTTGCCTGCTCCATTCTGCAGGTAGGGCTGACCTAATTTTTTGGGACTGTGGGGGGGCTGGGGTGGGGGGAAGAATGCAGGGAAGGCTTCCGCCTAAATGGAGCGCATTATTGTCAGCATGTCCGTGAATGAACGCCAGAGCCCAGCATCTCCGAGGGCTGCCATTAAATGAGAAATACTCTTTGTGGAAGCAGAGCTCTGAAGTAGCTACCATGGTGAGGAGCGGGGTGAACATAGAGCAGTTGGAATAGGAAAGAGCATGTGAGTAGGTAGAGAATGTGTGTGTGTGTGTGTGTGTGTGTGTGTGTGTGTGTCTGTCTGTCTGTCTTAAGGACATAGATAAGGCAACAAAGCCAATGCTTTTAACATAATAGCATCAACAATGTGTGTGTGTGTGTGTGTCTGAAGGACATAGATATGGCAATAGAGCCAAAGCTTTTACATAGCAGCATCAACTGTGTGTGTATGTGTGTGTGTGGTTGATCTAGGAATGAGGGTGTTGAGTCACTTTGTTATTAAGTTCAAAGAAAAGTTTCTAAAGGGAACATTTTAAAAATGCCCATTTTGTGAGGCAATGTCAGGAGGCACTCGATCAAATCTAGCTTGACGCCATCCACTCCCCAGCTCAGCAGTCTCTGGAAGCCGGCGCGGAGCGAGCGGCAGCTGGGCTAATGAGAACTGTCTGCTGCCAACGCCTCGGGGGCCCAGCTCAAAGCCAAGGTACGACCTGAAAGGTCACCCAGAGCAGTCGTCTTGCCAGCTCCCCACCGGGGCCTTTCCAGAACACCCGATCGCGGTTTCACCGCTCCGCTAGACTCCACGCCAATGGGCTCCGTGCTTCAACCTGGGGCAGGTTTCCCTGACGCCTAAACCACACTTCACACGCTGGCCTCCCGACTGGCCCCGTGGACAAGAGGGGGCCGGGCCAGGCAGAGCCCAGATGATTCTCTGGGTGTGAAGGAACAATTGTAAAATTCAGATGACATGAAAAGGCTCGGAGCTCCCAACCTAAACCTGGTGGTCCGTCAGGCAGTTTATGTTCTCCAGCAGGACAGGCTCCAAAATGCAAGAAAACGTTATGCTGCGAACGGTGCTCATCCCAGGAGTCCAGCTCAGCCGGGGCAACCCTCAGTGGAGGTCTGGGCGCCTCCAGGGCATCTTCTCGAATGTTCACAGCATCTCTCCAGCCTCCTCCCTCCTCCCCGTCTGCATCGGCACTCTTCGCGTGTGTGTGTGTCTGTGAGCTCCAGCAACCCAGCCCCGTGTCCGTTTCCTGGCTCCAGTCTTGCCCCCCACAGCCCGTTCCTCGTGGAGCTCCGGTCTCCTCTGCGCACTGGAGCACGGTGCTACTTCCCTGCGCCGCATCCTTCAGGGGTGCTTGGGCCTTCCCAGCGGCCACACGACTCACCTTCCGGGGCACCTCCTTTGCACTTGCATCCTTCCATTTTGTTCTCTGGCTCAGGACTACTTGCTGGTCTCCAGAAATACAACCTGTGATCGCGTCCCTCCCTGTGCCTGGAATGCTTGTGTCTGCTCGTGGAGGTTTGTCTCAAGACTAGTGTGCCAAGTGCCTGTCAGCCCGAGCAAGGGTCTTTACCTCCGCCGGGTCGGGTCCTGATCCCTCCATGCTCCTCCAAAGGCACGTGGTGCTTCCTTCCCTCCCAGCACCTGCACTGCAACACCCCAACTTGCTAGTTACTGGTCATCAAGGGATCAGCTCCTCGACTGGCCTAAGAAAAAAAATCCCCCAAAACTTTTCAGGTCAAATTCTTGTCGTTCTATCCATCGTGCTGTGTAGAGGAGGCTCTTCGGGGCGCACTGGGTAGAGATACATAGTTGTCTCCAGCGCACAGCAGATCTGTGCACAGTAGACCAACATGCTGCCTGGCCCTCTGCCATCCTCACCACCATTGTCTTTGAGCCCGTGGTTGCTACCTGCGTGTCAGTCCTTCTCCCCCGGTTTAAGAAGAAATCAGTGCATATATTTTGTAATTTAGATTCTTCCTCCCCGTCGTTGAACACGTGGGTATGGGTCTTTGATGTGCCTGCATGGCACACCTAACGCCTGCTGAGTTCTCAAGAACTGTGAGCAGGACCAGTCAGTTGAAGGCTGTGGCTGCCGCCCTATCGGGAAGCAGCTGCCCACTGGGTCTGAGCCACGAGCGAGTGTCTGTGAATTAAAACCCCTGTGTTGTTCCAGGTCAGCTGTTGCCAGCAAACCGCAATACACCAAGTCCCATTGATCCGGACACCATTCAGGTGCCAGTGGGTTACGAGCCAGACCCGGCAGACCTGGCCCTCTCCAGCATCCCCGGCCAGGAAATGTTTGATCCTCGCAAACGCAAGTTCTCTGAGGAAGAACTGAAACCACAGCCTATGATTAAGAAAGCGCGCAAGGTCTTCATCCCTGACGATCTGAAGGTAAATTGGAACTGGTGTTCAGGCTTATGGGCAAGTGGAGAGAGGGACCCAGGGGCTTGGGAAAGGGTGAGCCCAGGAAGATCACATCATTTAGCGAATGAAAGACCCGGGACTTGACTCCTTGTCCTGCCTGGTGAGTCTAGGCCCCCATTGCTTCCTTTCGGGGCGCCTCTGAAACATGCCTTTCATGTCTGGGTAATGCACAGTGCTGGGGGGAAGTCAGAATGCTGGGAGCGCTTTGACGCCTATGAAGGGAGCAGACCTACAACTCTCTCACAAGGAAGCACGAAAACCGAACCCCAAATGAACCCCAAAAATGAACCCCCAATCTCACGAGGTTAGGAAGAGAAGGAACGTTCTTGGGGCAAGGCATCTTGGCCTCAGAGTCCTCTGGGGGTTATCCCTCCCTTTGGAAGTTTCTGGGTAACTGCTCCCAAGCAGGGATGGCCAGGGTGGGGTTCTGATAAGGAAGCTGGTGGATGTTCTGACACTGCCCATAACTACTCCCTCTAAACGATCACAACACAAGGTTAATTCCGGGTTGCTTTTCTCTACTCCATTCATGTGGGAGGTATTATTTAGAAAGGAAAATAGATTTACTTTTAGAAGTCCAAATACAATGTAAAAGTAATCAGACATACTGAATGAGGCCTGAGAAGAGAATTTGGAGCTCTAGAGTCTACCACATCTAAACCAGGTCCAGAATAGAATGGTGTGTGCTTAACCTTGGCTTGTAGAGGATTTGTTAGTCTGTGCTTCTTGCCAACAGTACCGATACCAGAGAGAGTTGAGTCTCTGTCCATAACATTGTGTTTCCTCACTTCTGACCCCATTATCCAAACCCAGATGTGGTTCGCAGAGAGAGACACTCCTTTGTTTTGCCGGAACTGACTTGTCACTCCTGCTTTTATTTAGAAAGAGCATGGAGCAGGGGGAGAGCTCAGGTGTGGTAGCTGAAGTGCCCAGCAGATTGAAGTCACTACCATTGCCCACATGCCCAAGGGCATTCTCCATGACGCACACACCCCGGGTGCCTTGTCTTAAGGCGATCTTGGGGATTCGTGAGTGCAAAGTAACCTCTTGCACTTGAGGAAATGGAGGGGCAACGGGGTGAATGTAGATGCCCACTGCTGGTTAGAGTCCAGTCTAGCTGATGCTAAGCCTTCTGGCTTCCTGAAAGTCACTGTAGCATGTCGGTCCTGACAGAGGCTACTACAGCAGGGGCTCTCGGGTGGTACATAAGTCAGTAGCCGTTATCCTGAGAATCGGGAAAGGATGGCTCATGGTCTGAGCACCAGAAAGCCAGACGTTCTGTCCAGGGAGCCCTTGGATGGGAGTTTGGGCATCTCCACTGTCACTTTCCTAAGGGAACTGGTGCTTCGACTATGGAGAAACTAGAGAGATGGCACAGCCTGAGGTATTGGACAATTAAAGCACTTCTTTCAACTGGATATTTTCCCTATTTCTCCTTTAATTAAGCAGTTTTACGGGCACATAATCCACATGCCATATAACCCTGTAGTTGGGTCGTATCAAGAAGTGTTGTACCATCAGTTTTAGACAAAGTCCTGTCTTCTTAGTGGTCCAGGTCTATCTGTACTTAAGAGCCTTCACTTGAAGCAGACCAGGCCGCCTATCCAGCATGGATCTGCCCTTGAACAGAGGGCAGCGGTGTGACAGGATGCCTCGGAGGGACAGGTATAACTTCCAGTCGGGCCTTCAGAACTCCCACACTAACAGGCCCAGAGCAGAAGCAGGATTACTGAGTAATCCAGGTAACCTTGGCAACCCAGAGGCCAAGGCAAAACCAACTGTGCTGGAATCCCACATGGTAAGGCTAGCCGGGGCTGGGGTTGACCTGCTCACCTAGAGGGTGGGGGACAGCAGGAGCATTCCCCTGCCGTGTGGCCTGGGTGTTTTTGGCTGTGGTCACAGGCAGCAAGCTGGTTGGAAGCAGGAAGCAGGGCCTTCACCATATTCCTCCTTCCAGCAGTGAGCACTGAGCTAGTGGGAGAGGTGTTTGTGGGCCCCAGAAAGAGAGGGGCACCCTGCCTTGAGTAGAATAGACCCCACCCCAACTGGTTTCCCCTGCAGCTGCCTGAGCACTTCAGTTGTGCTGGCATGATCTCCCAGGAGAGCCAAGAGCTGGATACCGGCATTCCTGGATACAGGAAAATCCACTTGTGTTAGTCTGGGTTGACTAGAGAAACAAATTCATAGACACTCAGATGTATATAAGAAAGAGCTTTATATACAAGAGCAATTGAATATTGAGAAAACATCCCAGCCCCATCCAGATCAAGTCCATAAGTCTGATATTAGCCCATATGTCTGATACCAATCTATAAATTCCTCTTCACCCTCATGCAACACATACAATGATGCCAAATGCAGGAAGATCACAGGCCAGTGGGTGGGAAGTCTTGTGGATCCAGTGGCACTGTAAGCTTCTTAGCACTGGTGTGGGTCTCCACATGGCTCCTCCAGCTCCAGGCTCTAAGCGTAGCTCCATGTGTCTTCTCAACAGGAATATCTCGCAGGGAGTGTGTGTGTGTGTGTGTGTGTGTGTGTGTGTGTGTGTGTGTGTGTGTGTATCCCACCTCCAATGATCTATTTATCTCCTTAGCACCTCCAAATGAGATCATCAAGTTGTGACCTGATTGATAGGCTGAACTCTACCCCTTCACTCTTAAGTCTCAAATTGACAAGATTATGTAACTACCACATCACTTAATCTTAAGACTTTTCAATGTCCATTTAGTTATTTGGCAAATACTGCTCAAAGGCTGGGCCAAGCCCCCACCAGTGTGGCTGGGGGGTACCAGGTGAACCAGACCGGCCCCGTGGAGCTTCCAGTCCAGCAAGGAAAGGGAAGTGTGGCCTGTCAGAGGGGTTCTGGAGGAGGAGGCTGCCCTGGACAGGAGATGCTCAGGTCAACAGTGGATCAGTGCAGAGTGGGCCACTGCTGGATGGTGGCGGGTAGTGCCCGGGAGATGGAGCAGAAGTGTAGAGGGCCTGTCATGCTGCTTCCTCTCCTCCACACACACTGGGCTAGTCAAGGGAACCGCGCTGGCTTTTCTAGCCCAGGACATTCAGGCTGTCCTCATTCCTGCCTGCTCCATCCTCCACTCCACCCTTGCTCCCAGCTGGCTCTCACCTGAGCCGTTCCCCAACCCACACCTTTGCCAGCTCTTCTCTGCATGCATGGGCAGGTGAGGTCAGGGGGAGGAGAAGAGAGGGAGAAGGTCTTTGCTCTCCTGAGGTCAGTTGGTGACTGCCTGACCCTTCAAGCCTAGCCAGGATTGTCACAGATGCCCAAGTCCGTGGCCTTCGGAGGTACCCTCGCTCCCACATCCTGTCCCTTGCCAGGTTTGGTTCCAATCGCCTCCCAGGCTCCTGCTACCCTGTGTGCAGGCTCCACACTGGATCCCGTCGGGCCGCTCTTTGCAGGGCTCTGGAACATTCGGGCTGTGGTAGGCTTCCTGGCAGTCCGGAGGGGGTGGCATTGGGTTTACAGCAGTCACACACCATTTCCATCACTGTGGTTGCAATGCCCTTAGGTCCCCTTGGCGCTGTGATGTCACTGAGTGGGGGTCCTCCTGGCTTGCCTTCTCTCCTCTCCCCAGCTGGCCTCTCTCCCACCCCCATCTCTCCGGCTCCCTTTCAAAGGCATGGCTACACATGGCTCCCTTTGCCTTGTGCAGATACTAAATGGCTCCCGCAACAGCCATGTGCTCCTCCCCCAAGTGCAGGTGTTCTCCGAAGTGCAGCCTCCTCCCCAGGAAGAGCCGAGAGCAGGTTCTCTGGAAATACTTCTCAAATCTTGTTCCTCATGTCGTTGTGAAACGGATAGGAAGTTGGGGTGCTGGGTGCTCCAGATGCCAGTGCCAGCTTGTGAACAGGCAGATGGAGTGGCTACACCACCTTGTCTTTGTGCAGGACAATTGCCCCCCCCAGGGTAAGGAGCAGGCGCTGGGACAGGCCCTGACCTGGGGTCTTCGTTGCAGCCTTGGCCCCAATCCATGTGACCTCCTCCAGCCCCAGCTGCCCCTGGGAGGCCTAGGGAGGCACCCGTGCGCACGCGTGTGCGTGTGCATATGTGTGTGTGTGTGTGTGTGTAAGAACAGCCTCGCCCCTTTGTTCTGAGTGGCATGTACCTGCAGGTATTCGCTGTGTTGGAACTAAGAGATTTGCTCCTGCAGGTTGCTGCAAAAAGCAGGTAGCAACTCTAGCAACTCAGGCTAGAGTTGTGCCCTGCACAGTCTCAAAGGAGCTGCCCTTCCCAACCTTCCTAGGAAGCTCTTCCTTCAGGCGAGGGGGGAGCAGCAATGAGGGAAAAGGAGTGGTTGGTCCACAGTGACCACAGTTAAGTAGTCCTCAGGTTAATTAAGGCCCAGGGAACAGTTCCAGGAAATTAGAGTAAATTATTTAAATGCTATCCACCAGTGATGCATTGATTGGTGTCGGATTGAAGGGTTTAAAAAAAAGAAGTTCTACTTTTAATTACCGAAGTGTACATGCCCATTATATAATCTAATAATTCAGGAAGGCATAAAGTAAAAGGTTAAAGAGCCTGCCTCCCCTTGGCCCCCGTCCCTCCTCCTAGAAGCACCACTGTTTATAGTTCGGTATAGAACCTTCTGCGTCATTTTCTATGGATTCATCATAATCTTTTTCTTTTTCTTGTCAATCAAAATGAGAAGAGGGAGGCCCGGCCTAGTTAGCCGCAAATTGCCATCGCTTCCACTCACAGGGTGGCATATGGTGACCATGGTCCAGCCCAGCTGGTCCTCACGTTGAACAACTGCAGAATGTTCCTTCTCCTGCCCCATCACAATATAGTTCTTAAATCTCCTCCTGATGAATCGTTAGGCGGAGTTGCACCCTCTTGCTCTGTTGCAACCCTGCTGGAAGAAAAAACGCTGTGCCCATGTCCCGTGCATGTGCACCGGTCTTGCTATACGATGAAATCTAGAAGTGAAATTGTTGGATCAGTGGGCTTGTGGATGTAACTGATCGATATTCCCAAACTAAAGCGCCCTGGTGGTGTTCCCCAGCAGGCACCTGGCTGTAAAGTGCAAAGTTGGCTGTTGGCACCCAGCCAGTAGCTCTGGGCGAATGCCCGGCCATCTGCGCCCGTCAAGGGGACAGCGTAGGAAGCCCCACGGGAAGTTCTACATCGTACCCTGGAGTTGAAATCACTTTGAGGGCACCTAACAGTAGCAACTTTACCAAATCACCTTCCCAAAACATGACACTAATTTCTACTCGTACCCAGAAGCACCTGAGTGTGCTTAAAAGAAAAAGCCGCCTGCGTTTTTAAGCAAAGCGAGAGAAGACGTGTGTCGTACCATAGAGAGTGGGAGGTGAGCTCCTTGCTCTCAGTCTCTGGTCTTGGGCACCTAGGCCTCTTTTGACAGGCCGGAAACCCTGACTCAGACCGTTCTCGAACATCCTGAAAACAGGCAAGGCAAGAGACACGCATGAAGCACCTGGGCCTGGGCCTTAGCACAACCCTGAAGGCTGCCAGTGCCCGGGCTGACCCTGAGCCCTGCTGAAATCTAATATCCTCATTCTCTTTCCTTCTGTAACTAATGAGCAGGATGACAAGTACTGGGCACGGCGCAGAAAGAACAACATGGCAGCCAAGCGCTCGCGAGACGCCCGGAGGCTGAAGGAGAATCAGATCGCCATCCGGGCCTCGTTCCTGGAGAAGGAGAACTCGGCGCTCCGCCAGGAGGTGGCTGACTTGCGGAAGGAGCTGGGCAAATGCAAGAACATACTTGCCAAGTATGAAGCCAGGCACGGGCCCCTGTAGGGTGGCATTTTTGTGGGCTGGCTCTTGAGTAGAAGGACAGCTTGTTTCCTGTCTGATAGCACCACACCCAAACAACCTTTCTATCATCAGCACTTTACCAGAGGCAGAGACGCACTCGACTCACATTTTGATGTGCATCTGTGTGTGAGTATGTGTGTGCGTGTGCACATGCGCGTGCATGCACACGTTGATGTGCTTGTGTGTGTGTGTGTGTGTGTGTGTGCTCCTTTGCACCTGCCGTTTTAAAGAAGTCCCCTCTTCATCACTTAGTCCCAACAGAGGAAAGGTGCCATGTTTTTACTGGACTTCCGGAGCCCTCTCGTGGGGTTTCCTCCCCTGACCCGCCTTCGCCAATGCCTTCCCTTTCAAAGTTAGCTTCACGGTTGAGCTGACTTGCTCTTCCAGGACCCTCACCTTGGAATCCCAGAAGGGCCCTGGTGAGGCCTGGGGACGTAGAGTTCAGTTCGCAGGAGCACACGCTGTTTTCCTGTCCAGTCTCTGAGCTGCCATGCTGACAAGGTGCACGAGATGACTGGGCCCCTCCGGGCAGTTCGATTCGTTGATGGGTGGCTTTCCTATGTTCAGTTTTGGTGAAATTTGTCTTCAGATTCAAAGTGGTCTTTAGCTTTATTAGGTCCCTCATTTCACCTCACTGCCATCTACTAAGTTTCCTTTTTCTTCTGCCAACCCCAGATCAGTCAGATACTATCACAGAGCAGAGTGGGGCTTCGCACCGGCTGTACTTTAAAGCAATAATCCTGTTGTTCGCTAGAGCATGCTGCCTGAGTAGTCCTAGTGGGTGTAGGACATCTTCCCTGCCGAAACAGCCAACCAGCCAACCAACCTTAAAGGAACGCATTTGAGCATGCCCAGCACATCCCCAGGACAGAGACGCAGAGGGAAATGCAGGTCTCAGAGCAAAGGGTTCGTTTACATGTGCCAACACACATGTCCTGGAAGAACTTTTGGCTTCTGAAAAGTTTGATTTGGGGTTCTCTCCTCATCCGTACTCCCTTTCCCTTACTCCCACTTCACTTTTCCCACATCCCTCCTGATACTTGGAACAATTCCATGGCTTAACATCTGGGTTTCCCCATTATTTTTTTGGAATATATATACATATATATATTGTTAATTACACCTGCTGTTTTCTGAAATCAGTTCAGTCGATTGTCACCCCCCCCTTTTCCCTAGGGGTGTCATTTTTGAGCCACTTAAATGGATGATTCCAGGGCTTCTGTTGCTTACTCTCGATTTGCTTTGGACTGTCTGTATGCTTCTCGAAGCGGACTTCCGAAAAATGAATGTCAGCGACACTGGTGTGTCTTGGAAGGCGAGGTGGTGTCTCAAACTGTGGTGACTCCAATCTGCGTACATGTTTACTATTGACCAAAAGGAGAGATGATTGACATTGTTTAATGTTTTTACAGAGTACTTATAGGAAGTTCTTTTTTTGTACAGTATTTTTCAGATATAAATACTGACAATGTATTTTGAAAGACATATATTATATATAGCAAAGAGAAAAAGGAAAATTGTTCCATGTTTTAAAATCACAGAGCAGAGATATATATTCGCCAATATTGTACAGAGAAGAAGTGCTTTGGGGTTTTTGAATGTCTTTAATATTTTAAGCTTATTGATGACACGTCAGCATTTTTTCCACTTTAAATTAAAATTTGATGACAGTACCAAGGTTTGCCATGGTGAATCCTGCTCCCAACTACACAAAGAGCATTCTGTCTCCCCATTCAGCATCCGAAAGAAGTCCGTTAATGCCACCCAAAAGCACAAAATGGATTTTAAGTCAAATATTTATTGAATGATACAGCGAGGTTTTTTTGTTTTGGTTTTTTCTCCTGGTTTGTTTGATTTTTAAGAGAAAGCATGCCCCCCCCCCCCCAAGAATTTTCACGAGTTTCTGGAACAGAGCACTGCTGAAGGTGTCCCCCACCCTCCGGGGCTCCTCTGCAGTAGCATGTATCTTGTGCAGAGCACCAAATGGACATCAGTGGGATGTGCACGGTTTATCATGGGAGAGATGTTTTGGCTTTAAAGATGATTGCTCTCTTGTTTCACTGAGTTGAATAATGCCAAACGACTCTGATGGTCCTGTAAAGGAACATTTTGTTCTAGATTACAATGCCGCCTCCTGAGCGGGTGTTTCTGGCTTCCCGCCTCCAAAATGTGCAATTGGTGCATGAGCTGGCGGTCCTCTTGCCAGTCCATCAGCAATGGTCCTCACAGCATCATCGTCTTGGGAGTCCGACCAGGTATTTGTTTGGTCCCACGGTCCAGATTACAGCAGAAAAGAGGAGCACGTTAGACAAGAGACTAAATGTTCAGGTCAATTTACTAATAAAACCTCTGGAAAGCCTCTGCAGGACTTGAGTGAGAGGTAGTCGAGGAGAATTTGTGTCGAACTTTTTGAAGGTGGGGAGCCCAATTGCAACAAGATTATGGAAGAGCAATTGCCATGTCGTCCAGAGCCGTCAATCTGTGTGCCAGCAGAGACACACAGGGCGGGGAAATGGGCATGGAGCTTGTAAGTGGAGAGATGTTTAAAGGTTTGCACCTTGGGCCACCCCAAAAAAGTGTAAAATGCTAACAAAAAAAAAAATAAACCTATATTTGAGCACTGATCTTTCTTGGAATTCAAGTTGTTTGTATCCAATGATTATGACAAATGTTTTCTGCAGAAGAAATAAAAGAGATCATGTAAAACTTACTCGTGTGTGTGCGCCAGGAAAAATTACCTTATATAGAGGTGATTTTTAATTCACACCCACCTACACCCACTCCTGGATGCTGCCTGCGTTTCCAGGGCAGGTAACTAAAATGAAGTGTACATTGGCTTAGCTAACTATACTGAGACGCGAAGGATCGACCTGGATCTAATGCCTGGCTGCAGCCCCAAGAGTCCTGTGGTCATTTCTTCTTCATCATAAGCACCGTCCATGCATTAAAATGAATGCAAAGCTTACCCTGCCAACGCCATGTCTGTATCATTCGGGTTGAGAGGCAAAGGACTTCCTGGCATAGGTTAGTTCACTTGTTGTGTCTTGTGACTAAATTTGCCAAGAAAGGCAGAGATGGGTCTGCGCAGGGTTCTGCTTGTGCTACCTTGAGATTGGTGGGGGTGGGAGGGCTGAAATATCGCTTCCTCTTCACGAGCAAGTAGCTACTTTGACCTTTCAGAGTAGTCAGCATTAGTCAAGACTGATGGGAAGCAGCACGAGGCAGAAGGAGCAGGAGGGCAGACACATTTCCGAGGGACAGTGTGTGAGATGAGCCAGAAGGTTGCTTCTAACTTGCAGGCTTTGTGAAGGGGCGCTCGACCCTTGATCTAATTGTACAAGACCTAAGTTCTGGTTTCAGAATAGAGGAGATTTGTCACAGTCACCACCCTTCCCTTGGAGTAAGACCACACATTCTGTAAGATGTACAGGTTCACCTTGGTTTTCATAATCGTTCCTCTTCCCCCATGTTCCCTTCAGGTAGGGCCGAAGTTGAGCCAGTTATGTTGACCGACAATCCCAGGATAGGCAGACTTAGCCTGTTTGCCTCTATGTGGGGAGTGGGGGCAGTGATTGAACCCGAGGTCAACACAACAGGTGGCTCTAGACTAGGTGTTCTCTGCTCTGTCTTTTCACCTTCCTCCCAGGCCTCTGAGGCCCCCATCCTGTCTTCCCCCACCCACCTCTGGGAGCTAGGCAAGGGCTCCTCCAGGTTTTCTCTACGTGGACTGAAAAAGCAAAAACCAACCTGAGCAAGGCCTTATCCTGCATCCTGCGTCTTGATGGCTTGGATTTGGGCACTAAAGTCAGTCCATGTTGCAGGGAGCAAGTGTGTGTAGCATGTCGGGCTGTGAGTGTGTGTGTGAATAATGAGTATTTCAGTGAAGATAAAGCCTCCTCCTTTTTGGAACACTTTACCCAACATCACAAATCACCTCCTAGTGTGGTTTGGCAGCACCTCAAAGACGGCGTCTGTTAGGACACTGCACGTTAATGCGAGGTCAGCCGAGTTGTGTGCACCGGGATATTAGTGGTATGACGCTATTCAGTCCAAACCTCTGTCTGTCATTCTTAATGTTTAATAAACTCTGGCTTTTTTTCCTTTCATGTATTTTTGTTACAGTCTGTTAGCAATTGGCTTGCGCTCCCACTTCGATAACAAAAGTATTACTTTAAAAAAAAACCCAAACTAACGACAAACCCATAGCTATCAAGTCAATTCTGACTCATAATTACCCAACGTGAGTTTATAAGACTAACTCTCTACCAGAGCAGCCAGTCTCATCTCTTCCCCGAGGAGTGGCTGGTGGTTTTACACTTCTGGCCTTGGGGTCGGCAACTCCAAACTCTCCCTTGAGTTGAATCCCAACTCGCCATGACCCTACAGCTGGGGACCTGCCCCGGGGGTTTTCTAAGGCTGGAATCCTGGAAGCAGATTTGACGTCTTTCTCTTGCAGAGCAGCTGATGGACTGAAACTGTCACATGTTCTGTTGGCGGCTGAGAGCCTTTACCTTGTGCTCTCAGGGCCCCTTAAGCCTGAGATCAAGCACAGAAATCTCAATTTTTGAAAAGCTCTTTGTTAGCCCCACTGTGCGACCATGGAACGAACCAAGGGTCTGCTGAGGTGGTTTGTCATTTGAGCCTACAGCCCTTGGAAAATCAATGGAGAGGCTTTTAAATTTCCCAAACCACCTGAAATTGTGTGTGCAGTGTTGTACGTATATATATGTCTTTAATATTTTAAGCTTATTGATGACACG